CAATCCAGTTAGAAATCTCCCAGGAGAACAGCTTGGGAGAAAAGAAACGATTTATCACCTGCAGTTTATAAGGTAACGACAGAAGGGTTACCTTTGTCTGAACCACATTTATCAATCTTAACTTTTCTACGGGGGTTCATTCACACAGTACACAATGCCCCACAATAAGTTCAATGGCCCTGGCCCTACTGATCTTCCAGAAGCCCCTGAAAACTTGGTTTTGCCAGTGGGCCTGGGGATCCTGTAGAAATATGAAGCCCACAAAATGGCTGCATTGTGTGTAAGATTTTGATTGCACTCTCCCACGTTTCTCGTGTTTGGTTTTTAATTCTTTTTAACTGTTTTGTTGCAATTGTTTTTGTTCATTTTTTGCTTTGCTATTTTAATTGTGCAAGCCACTCAGAATCACATGTGGGAGATGGGTGGCTATATAAATTGAACGAAGTTGCCTTAAATCGTGGCTTACAGCCACAATTACTACACTATACCACAGCAAACAAGCCAGATGAAGGATCGGCAGGCCAGGCTAATCCTTTCATCTTTAGGAGCTAGCGAGTCCAGCCCAGCAGCAATCTGATTAGCTTGACTTTCTTGCAGGAATGTAAATTGGTCGGTGGGTTGCAGCAGCCTAGAAATCTTAATACACAAACCAACAACCGGGCCAGCAGCTTCCTATTTTTTCCATGTGTAACCCCAATTTCCTTTAGTCCCCTCTTTCTACGTGGGGGACATTTTAAATATCGTAGGAAGGGGGCTGCGTTAGTCTCTGAAGACAAAGCAATGTGAAAGAACCTGACTGCACCTTTTCCAACTAACAAAAGTTATCACAAGGTGTAAGTTTTGGTAAACCACAGCTCACTTCATCAGACACACAGAGAAGCTAGACCAGCGTTCCTCAACCTTGGCCACTTTAAGATAGGTGGACTTCAACTCCCAGAATTCCCCAGCCAGCATCTTAAAGTGGCCAAGGTTGAGGAACACTGAGCTAGACTGATGTAGGATGGTGTAACCTCATCCCAGTTTAAACTCTACATTCATCAGTCTCTGATGAAGGGAGCTGCAACTCATGAAAGCTGATGCCTTTGAATAAAATTGTTAGCCAGAAAGGGGTTCCCTGGCACCTCCTGGTTTTATGAGAACTATGTGGTTCCAAAGAGAACGGGTTTCCTGTAATTTCTGGGGATGGATGAAGCGCCTCAACTTTAACACTCAGTTTTAAAGACAAGGATCAGTTCCTCCATAGCTGGCAGGCATGTTTACAGGCAATTAGCACCGTTTGCATGGACAGATATTATACTTCACTTTCAGCGGCCTCAAAATTCACCCCAGCTGACCCGGCTTTCCTTTTCATTGGGCAGGAAAAGGACTGCATTCTTCCTCTTCCTGTTCACTTTCATATTCTAATTTTATTTTCCTCATCCCTTTGTACAGTAGCCACATCCAAGCCACTTCAGGTTTTTAAGAAATATTACTGCCTCGACAACTCTAAAACCTGCATAAATGTTTAGAACACTGTATTAACCATTTTAAACGTATTCAGTGTGATGCAACTATTTGGTTTCATCTGAAAAATAGAAATGTAAGGATCCTGCTCAATAAATGAATATTACCCACTGCTGCCAACTCATCAATGGTTTTAAAAGCATTTTAATGAAAGAATATAAATAGCATATTACCTCCCTTGTTCTAACATTAATAGTATGAGGTAATATTTTTTTAAATTATTATTTACTTATAGCAACTGCATGTTGGGCGGTAGAAGCTATCAACACACAAGGGAGTAAAAACGTAACAAGCAATTCAGATGCTAAGAAGGGCATCAAATGCTAATAGAAACCTCTTGCGTATATTTATTTCATATATAACAACAGTCTACCTAGAAGTGATACAGCAACTTAATTTAAATGCAGAGAGATATAGGACTGCGAGAAAGAAACAATTTAAATGCCAGTTCATCCCCAGTTCTTTTATTCCCATTTCATAAACCACAGGTTAATTAAACACAGGCCTGCATAACATGAATGTATGACTACAGGCATGCCTCATTTTATTGCGCTTCACTTTATTGCGCTTGGCAGATATTGCATTTATTAAACAGCTTTGCGTGCTACAGAAAAATATTTCATGAGAGGAAGAGAGGTGGCAAATTTCACTGCTGTCTTAAGAAATATTTTAATTAAGGTATTACATTGTTTTCTTGGGCCTATTGCACACTTAATAGACTACGATATAGTGTAAACATAACTTTTATATGCACTGGGAAACCAAAAAACTCATGCGACTCGCTTTACTGCGGTGGCCTGGCACCCACCCAGCGGTATCTCGGAGGTATTTATTTAGTTTATCTATCGGCCACGCTGGTACGGCCGCCCCCCCCTCAAAAGGCGGCCTGTCAGTGCAGCACCTCCTCCTCCGACCTTCTGCCCTCAAAGCGGCATCAGGCAAGGCCTCCCTCCGCCGGCGGCAAACGCCCGCCCGCCCATTCATCGGCAGGCGAGCAGGCAGATAAAGCCGCCAGGTGACAAACCGCGCAGTGCCGAGTCTCAAGCCCGACGCAGCGGCGCCGGAGAAGGCCACGGAACGCCCAAGCCCTTTCCAGGGCCCAACCGCGCATTTACCGGGGCGGGCAGAGACGTCCCTCGGCTGCCTCCTCGCCCACTGTCCGCAGCCGGGCTGCGCAGGGAGGCCCACAGAGAAAGGAGGCCTGCCGGCGGGCTTGCGCAGCCGAGCGCGCTCGG